GCCTTCAAAACATTGAATCTTCATAATCAGAAACCTGGGGTACATTTCAAATATCTTAAGTATCATAGCCATAAATTTACAGACAAATCAACCAAGAATTGAGTACTGAGGAAGTGAAATGGGTAAGAAATTGAGTGTGGGAAACTTCAAAGACCCAAAGCATCGAAAATGGTTAGTTGAGCAGCGGTAGGACTTTAATGCTGGGTCAACTCATATTTTCACTATATCCCTTCTACCCACCCCCTACCCTCAGGGCAGTAGGCAGTATGGGTTCCTTGGGTAGTTTACAATCTATCCTACATATTTGTAATGATATTTTTGGCCTGAATCATATATAAATGTGACTTTGTATAAAAGATGTCTACTGTCACTCTCCACACATCATTTTGCCTATCATTACATCAATCCTTCATGAATATTTCTAAGCTTTTAAGCTATTATAATGGATGTATATGGGTGTTATTCCAGGTCTCTGATCACATCACAGGCTTGTCATGTTGGATATCTCAACATAATGTGCAAGTCTCGCTATTAATGTTCATTCTTTATCTTTAGACTCACTTACTGCACACATGTATTTCATTTGTCATTATTGATGTTTTGGATTTCTTTAGCTTATATCTTGGTCACATGGTAACCAATGGACGAGAAAAGACTACAAATAAACTCACCTAGACTCGGACTACAACCTTGATTAAGCTGACTACTGATTCCCAGATACTGAGTATCAAAACCAAATACTGAGTACCAATTACCATGTACCAAGTACTGCGTAATGAGTAACAAGATAACCAATTGACAAGAAAAGACTACCACTACACTCACCTGGACTTGGACTACAACCTTTGGTAAGGAAGTTAAGCATAATAACAACATTCATTTTTTTCATTATTGCTGATGTTTTGCTGAATGACAAGGAAAGACTACCAAATCACTCACCTTGACATGGACTACAACTGTCATTTTTCATTATCATTTGCCTATATTGACTACCAAGTCTCGAGTACCAACCACTGACCACCAATCACCGAATGCCGAGTACCGAGTACCAATAGGGAATAGTGTGGGTGAACCCTGGGGTATGAGTAGCACTACCCCCACCCATACCCCATGATATACCCACACCCACCTTGTGGGTGTGGGTTTTTTGGTGGGTATCAGGGAGAAACTACCGAGTCTTGAGTACCAACCACTGACCACCAATCACCGAGTGCCGAGGACCGAGTACCAAGTACCGAGTCCCGAGTCCCGAGTCTCGAGTCCCGAATCCCAAGTCCCGAGTCCCAAGTCCCGAGTCCCGAGTCCCAAGTCCCAAGTCCCGAGTCCCGAGTCCCGAGTCCCGAGTCCCGAGTCCCAAGTCTCGAGTCTCGAGTCCCAAGTCCCGAGTACCGAGTCCCGAGAACCGAGTACCGAGTACTGAGTGCCAAGTACCAACCACTGACCACCGATCACTGAGTGCCAAGTACCAAGTACCAAGTACCAAGTCCCAAGTCCCAAGTACTGAGTACTGACAAATACAATTCCCAGGTTATTTGAGCCCTACACCAATGGATAATACATACAAATACAATTTGTGTCCATTTGAAGTACCGGGTTTCAGGTTTTGACACTCGACACTTGGTGATTTGTGAAATGAGTGAAAAATGGACATGTTGTGTACATGATGTTGGGTTTCGGGCTTTGGGTCTCAGCCCTCAGCACTCAGAACTCGATGATTTGAGTAATGTAAATGAAAAATCAACATGTTGCATGCCGGGTTTCGAGTTTCGGGTTTCAGCACTCAAAACTCAGTGATTTGTACAGTGAGTGAAAAATGGACATGTTGTGCACATATTTTCGGGTCTCGGGGTTCGGGTTTCGGCCCTCGGAACTCGGAACTTAATGACTTGTGTAATATAATTGAACAATGGACATGTTGCACACCCAGTTTTGAGTTTCAGGTTTCAGCACTTGAAACTCGGTGATTTGTGCAACAAGTGAAAAATGGAAATGTTGCATACATATTTTCGGGTCTTGGGCTTCGGGTCTCGGCCCTTGGCACTTGGAACTCGATGATTTGTGTAATGTAAATGAAAAATCAACATGTTGCATGCCAGGTTTCAAGTTTCGGGTTTCAGCACTCAAAACTCGGTGATTTGTGCAATGAGTGAAAAATGGACATGTTGTGTACATATTTTCGGGGTTCGGGGTTCAGGTTTCGGCCCTCGGAGCTCGGAACTCAATGACTTGTGTAATATAATTGAACAATGGACATGTTGCATGCCGGGTTTCGAGTTTTGGGTTTCGGCACTTGAAACTCAGTGATTTGTGCAACAAGTAAAAAATGGACATGTTGTGCACATATTTTCGGGGTTCGGGGTTCGGGTCTCGGACCTCGGACCTCGGAACTCAATGATTTGTGTGATGTAAATGAAAAATCAACATGTTGCATGCCGGGTTTCGAGTTTCGGGTGTCAGCACTCAAAACTCAGTGATTTGTGCAATGAGTGAAAAATGGACATGTTGTGTACATATTTTCGGGTCTCGGGGTTCGGGTTTCGGCCCTCGGAACTCGGAACTTAATGACTTGTGTAATATAATTGAACAATGGACATGTTGCACACCCGGTTTTGAGTTTCGGGTTTCCGCACTTGAAACTCAGTGATTTGTGCAACAAGTGAAAAATTGAAATGTTGCATACATATTTTCGGGTCTCGGGGTTCGGGTTTCGGCCCTCGGCACTCGGAACTTCATGATTTGTGTAATATAAATGAAAAATGGACATGTTGCATGCCGGGTTTTGAGTTTCAGGTTTCAGCACTCAAAACTCGGTGATTTGTGCAACAAGTAAAAAATGGACATGTTGTGCACATATTTTCGGGGTTCGGGGTTCGGGTCTCGGACCTCGGACCTCGGAACTCAATGATTTGTGTGATGTAAATAAAAAATCAACATGTTGCACGCCGGGTTTCAAGTTTTGGGTTTCAGCACTCAAAACTCGGTGATTTGTGCAATGAGTGAAAAATGGACATGTTGTGTACATATTTTCGGGTCTTGGGGTTCTGGTTTCGGCCCTCGGAGCTCGGAACTCAATGAGTTGTGTAATATAATTGAACAATGGACATGTTGCATGCCGTGTTTCGAGTTTTGGGTTTTGGCACTTGAAACTCAGTGATTTGTGCAACAAGTGAAAAATGGAAATGTTGCATACATATTTTTGGGTCTCAGGCTTCGGGTTTCGGCACTTGGCACTTGGCACTTGGTTATTTGTGTGATATAAATGAAAAATAAACATGTCACACACTGGCTTTCCAGTTTCACGCTTTGGCACTCAAAACTCAGTGATTTGTGCAGTGAGTAAAAAATGGACATGTTGTGTACATATTTTCGGGTCTCAGGGTTCGGCCCTCGGCCCTCGGCACTCGTAACTCTATGATTTGGGTTATATAAATGAAAAATCAACATGTTGCACACTGGGTTTCAAGTTTCACGCTTTGGCACTCAAAACTCGGTGATTTGTGCAACAAGTGAAAAATGGAAATGTTGCATACATATTTTCGGGTCTTGGGGTTCGGGTTTCGGCACTTGGCACTCGGAACTCAATGAATTGTGTAATATACATGAAAAATGGACATGTTGCACACTGGGTTTCAAGTTTCACGCTTTGGCACTCGAAACTTGGTGATTTGTGCAGTGAGTGAAAAATGGACATGTTGAACAATGGATTTCAGGGTCTCAGGTTTGAAAAATAGCATAATAACAACTTTCATGTTTTCATTATCATTTGCCTATATTGACTACCGAGTCTGATAAGAGACCCCTTGGATGATTCATTGCTCAATGAAATACTACCTGATTGGAAGTGTGCTGGTTATCAGATATTCATTTGTCGACTCCCGGGTCCCGGAACTTGGAAGTCGGTACGGTTGACCCAAATTTGGGTGGTCAGAACTTGGCATCTCATAGGGCAACACAAGCTTCACACCCTGGATTCCAAATTCTGCAAGACAACCTGTGCACCATCAAAGGCCATGTCAGGAGATCACCTGCTGCTCTGGGAACTCGGGAACTTTGATTTATTACCTCCTCTGAGTACGGTTGACCCAAAGGTTGGTAATCGGAACTTGGCTTCTCATAGGGTAACACAAGCTTCGCACCCCGGATTCCAAATTTTGCAAGACAACCTGTGCACCATCAAAGGCCATGTCAGGAGATCACCTGCTGCTCCAGGAACTTGGTAACTTTGATTTTATTACCTCCTCTGATTTGGTTGATGTACAACTACCTCAGCTCCATCGTGTTTACAATTATGATACACATGGGCCCACCCATCTATATTTTATACCACCCTCGGCCCACCGGTCTAATTAATATGTGTCTGGGCCCACCCGTATAATACAATATTGTATAATACCCTCAGCCCACCCGTCTAATTTAATATGTGTCTGGGCCCACCCGTGAATGTGATAACAAGTACCTACCCATCTATCTCATACACATCTACCTTAATACACCCATCTGCATAATATCCAACTACCTCGGCCCACCCGTCTACCTAATATTCATGTACATCGGCCCACTCATCTACTCTATATATCCCCTGCATGGGCCCACCCGCCTCCATCGGGAATAATTTGCCTCCCGGCCCATCTGTCATAGTTGAGGATATTTTTATCATGGGCCCATGGTCCGCTGGCCCGTATCATACGGGATATTATGCATAGTGCTGCCGAAGTCCGGTTCGGTTCGGTTCTTGGGGCAAATTTTCCGAACGCCGAACCGAACCATAGGTTCGGTTCAGCCATTTGGTCGAACCCTGGACCAAACGTCACCGAACGCGTTCGGGAGGGTCCGGTTCGCGTTCGAACCAGGTTCGACTAAGCTTGGACCATCTGTGGTTGTATAGGCTCGAGACCATGAGTTGTCATGTAATTCGAGTCGGACAGACAACGAAAAGACTCTAACGCAAGGAGAACTTCTTTGTACAAAGATTGAATTCAAGTTTCTAAAATAAACACATTTTATTTGCCCGGTGCACATAGTTCCCTGATCACATTCTCATCGATCCTCTTCTCTAAACATATCTCAAACGCAGCAGCATGTACGGTTGCAGTATTCGAGATTGCAAGCGTGTCAATCTTCGCTGCAGGATTCTCTGAAAGGCGGAAAGCCCAGAGAATAACAGCCGTATTGATGAAGATGGACCGATTCGCGACATGTTGACCAGGACACACTCTAGTATTTTCAAGTAAGGCATGAGAAAAGGTGGAAAGATGAACGATACCACTCACCGGCGGCCAAAACCAAAAGTGAAAAACTTGAGATCAGTGATCACCGCGCACACGACCTGCATCGTCGCGCGATGCGCAAAGCCTGTAGTGAAAGGTGGTCGTCCATTATCGCATCATCACAACTGAAATAAGACGTACCTCCAATAGCAGCCACTGTGACACTAATCCCATCAGCTACCCCTGACAGGTCTCCACCTGAGACCCTCGAGGATGAACACGGTAACTTGCGGCATAGCTTGAGCTCAAACGAAGACCGACAGACTCACGAACTGCGAACGGTGGGCAACGACTTGTATCAGCATGGCTGTTGCTCGAACGAGGATCGACACACTCACGACCTGCGAACGGTGGCCAACGTCTTGGATCAGCACGGCTCTTGTTCGAATGAGGAACGGTGGCCTGGTCCGCCAACGATTTGGATCAGAATGGTTCGAGCTCGAAAATCTTGACATACTCACTTCCTGCGAACAATAAGCAACGACTTTGATCAGCATGGCTCATAACATTCCCAAGTAGTACTTACCTATATTAATCATTAGCAAGAGTTCAAAGTGTTTGGAATTCATATAGCGACATAAGATACCTAGTGTTTGAACATGTTGTGACGGTGCAGTACTGTGTCACAGCGCGTCACGACTGCGGCAGGCGCGACAGAGGACCGCGTCAATTTCACCCGGCTCAAACCTGCGCGGGTTGCAGACACATGCATTTGCATATATTGACACATAGTAAATACTTACATCTTTTTAAAAAAGTGTAAAGCGTACAAAAATTGAGAGGTTCGAACCCGTTCGAACCTATTCACTACCAGCCCGAACCCCGAACCTCTGGAAAGGTTCGGTTCTGAGTCTTGGCCGAACCTTGGACCGGACCATGCGTCCGGTTCGGAAAGGTTCAGGTTCGAACCGAGGTTCGGAACCGGACTGCGGCAGCACTAATTATGCACGTCCGTTCCCTCGTATTATATGGAAATAGGTCACTGTAATATGTGGAACAATCGCTTGCAGTTTGCAGTTTCAGGAGGACTGATTGGTATTCGCACCAAGTTTGATCCTACGTTGTGCAGAGCAGATTGTCTCGTCGGTCAAGTACTGGGTGCGATTGGAGAAGCTCCCGAAGGTCTATACCGGTGAGCATGCTCGTTTTGGATATGTCATCGCGTTCTAGAGAGAATTTGGAGCTTGAAATCAGTTTGTTTCGTCTCCCGTGTTTGATAAACGTTCATATAGAGGAGAAGAAACAAATAAAGGTTTCGAAACTCACCAAGAACGAGCTCCTGGTGACTAACATTGGTTCGACATCGAATGGTGGGCAGGTAATGGGCGTGAGAGGGGATCTCGCGAAGGTTCAACTGACTTTACCCGCATGTACTGAGGTTGGAAAAGATGTCACGCTTTCGAGATGTATCGAGAAGCATTGGTGGCTTGTAGGCAAGTGTTTCTGTCAGCTGAGTAGACTGATTCGCTACCTACTTGATGTGACCGGAGCCAATCTACATATGTATCATTTCTGGAGCACGCAGATGCAAGTGTTTTTTTTTTTCATTTTAGTACATGGAAAAGTGGCTTTCCTGATCAATGAAGGCTTGTTGCCAACGACGAAAAATAGAATCGATCGTGATATGTAAAGCGTTCCTCGAATTTCAAATTTGTCTCCATTTCATATACTGGAAGGATGAAATGGGAAATCTTCGTAAAGGACAAGGAAGCAGACGGGATGTATTACTGATGATCATGGGTATACTCAGTAGAGGTGCAACAAATAAGAAGCCAGAAGCGAGTCCAGCGTCCAGCATGTCTGATTGTTACATGAGGATTAGCGCTTGAAGGTGTGTTAGTGACGGCAGGAGGTGCGGTGGAAGGGGGGACAGCAGCCTGTGCTTGCGAAGACTGGGCTTGAGACGCGCCATTGGAGTGTTGTGCGGTATTGCTATTGGGAGGAAGTGAGGTGCTCGCCGCAGGGTTCCCAGGTTTCAATGGAATGATTTTCATTCATCTTTCTCTTGCACATGCGTTCCTCTGTGTTGTATGAGATGGTATTTGAATATTCGTGAAGCAAACAGACAACATACACGTTTGCCCTTGGCATATGGAACATCGACTACTGCTGAGGGACGCTCGCGAAGCTCGATATCTTCACCGGTTGGCCTCCCAGAGAGACGACTTCGAACCCAGTGGAAAGGGCGGGGTGGCGAAGACGTGTCGTGGCCACGGGCGTCTGGGTGTATGCGGCGGAATAAAGAGGAAAATCGGTCACGAAGGGTGCTTGCATGCGATGCGTGCTGAGAACATGCAAGTCAGGAAAAACAGCACTGGATTAGACGTTAAAGACGTACGTGAGCCCGATATGGTATGTCGTCAAAAAAACCATGGGGTACCCGGCGCTGAGGGACGATGATTGGCTGACGGACTGGACGTGGTGTAGGCTTAGCCTAGAAGGAATAGATTCAATTGCGATAGGATATCAGCAAATAGGACCTGATGATAAAAAGTGACACGGACCTGCTTGTCCAACATAAGTTCGCTAAGGCCAGCTTCTTTTAGTATCCCACAAACATCCCAAGTGTACGCATTATTGTCCTCGCAGCCAGTGGCCAGTAGCTTTCCATTTGCCGAAAATGACACAGAATTCACCCAATTCGCATGGTAGAGGGGCGAACTGATGGGCTGGTTGTTGTCGAGGTTCCATAATCGTGTTGTCTTGTCATATGATGCACTTGCGAGGATGCGGCCATTCGGAGATATTGCAATGGATTCGACCAAAGAAGTGTGCGCATCCAACGCTGCGGTCTGGTTCCAAGTTGTAGTGCTCCATGTCCTAATCGAGCTATCGGCTGACCCTGATAGTATAAGGGTTTTTCCATCCTGAGTCCAAGCCAGACACCGCACCAAATCAGTTTCAAGAGTAGCGACAAGCTTGCCTGTCTTGCCATCCCAGATCGTGATAGATTGTTTGTATCCGCCAGTTGCAAACATGGTCGTGTCTGGCGAGTAGACCACTGCAAACACGGATTCGTGCCCTGTCTTGAGGTTTACCTCTCCGCTCTCTACATCCCATTGTCTTGCAGTCCCATCGGAGGATCCGTTCAAGACCCGCTGACCGTCTCCACTCCAGCAGACAGAAAACACTGCCTTTGTATGCCCCATCCATTTCACGATGACTTTGCCTGTGTCCATGTCCCACAACCTCACTCCGCCATCCCCACTCCCGCTGACCACTTTCTTCCCGTCCGGAGACAACACTATGGTGTACACTGCACTGTCTCCGTCCCGCCAGTCGTCTCCTATCTGTTTCCCACTCTTCAAGTTCCATACCCGCAGCGAGCCGTCAAATGAACAAGTCATTATCCGTTGTCCGCCTGGTAGATGTATGGTACCGCAGACCCAACTGGTGTGTCCCTCAAATCTCTGGCGAGGCATTATCTTCGAGGTCTCCTGTCTCTCAACGAAGGGTGAAGACATCTAGGCAGAGCCCCGTTGCAGCTTTCATCTGACAAAATACAACATCATCACTCACAACGATATGTTCCTCGGCAGGTCACGATGTGTTGATACCAAGACACAACAAGCATTAGGTCAAAAGCGCACTGAAAGTTTGAGCTGGCATGTCCTCGTGTTCGCTTCACAGCTTCTAGCAGGTTGTACAACTGAAGCGCCCGAGCCTCGTTTCTGACTAACCTCACTCTCCTAACTCCCGTGTTTACTGTTCGTCCATACACCAATTGCACCTCACTATCCTTGATATGTCTTGCAGATGATCCCGTCTTCGAGTATTCTTTTCGATCTGCACGATGCAGATCAGAGTAAAGAAAATAGCTTTTACCTTTCTGATTTACAGCTTGCACCTCAAGCAATATATGAATTACATATCCGCATCTTCACGTCCGATTCAGTCAACATCACATCGTACGAAGCTCTGCCATGCGTTCTACTATCTCTCTCTGAAGATGATATTCAGGCATCAGTCTCCTCTCCACGAAGTGCTGTGGTTGTAGAGTTGGCTTTGAGAACATACACCACACTCGACAACCTGAGCTCTCCTCGTTTCTCCCACCACAGGCTGCATCTGCCTTGTATCGCATTTCCTATCATAGAAGTCAGACGGAGACAAGGTCAAGACCAGGAGACACCCGTATATGAAGTCAAGACAGACTGGCTTGGTGACCTGCTGATCACCACGGAAAACAGCCTGGTTCCGTTCTCGTTGACAAGGCCCCTGCCAGCCCCTTGGCATACATTCTTGCTTGTCCGTCCATGGAATCGTGGCATACTATGAAAGAGCACTGGCGACACAGTCCTCATATCTCTACAAGTTGTCTGGACCCTGCAGATTTGATCGCATGATGTTGTACGTATCAATACATCAGTGCTTTACCACCTTTGCATGATACTACGGTACCTCTGTATATAAATTCAACTGTAGATGACATTCGAAGTTCGAACAAGATAGCGACCAGTCGGGTGCCTGTCATATGTCAGAGTAGCATAGCTCTCAGGTATTAGCTCAAACTTGGGTTCCAACTCTCGTGGGCAACATTTTCGCTTACCAGTAGCATCAGCGGGATTGATCTTGCAGTTGAAAGGTGGCAGGCATGGACTGGTTTGCAGCAGAAGACCAATATTAATGAGAGGATATATGGACATTAGTAAGTATACGCCCGCGCAAAATTAGACATTGGTTCAACTTCCAAAACAATCAACAGTCATCTCCTGAGAGTCGTTGGCTGTACATCACGTCAAACTGAATGATCTGTCTCCTCGATCATCCGTTCTATGCCATAGCCCACGTTCTGCTCTCCTTGTTCTCCAAAGAGATTGGTGAAGGATTTTGATGGGCTGCTGGGTTGGAGGTTGACACCTACACGGAAGTGTATTTGCAGGATGATGAGGCAGAATACGATCCCCTAAAGAAAAGTCTTGTAAACAGTCGTGTTTTAGCCAAGTAAACTCACCACAACAGGAGGACCAATATCCATCGCGGGGTATTGGCCGTTTGATCCCGTCAAGAATGCTAGAAGGAGTGCAAGGACACTGTTAGCATATATAGCGCCACCTTCGACGATGACGATCAGCACGGGTAAAAGATCAGCGGAGCCGCCTGAGATGGAATGGCGACTGCGCCAGATGCGCCAGGAAATCAAAGCTATCATATCCTACTCGTCATGAGCCTGCAGGTTAGCCATAGAATAAACGTACTGGTGCAAACGATACTGATAAGCATGGTCAATATGTAGAAAGTTGTGATCAACCCAGGAATGGTGGTATGAACACTCGTCCCTGCGACGGTTCGAGAAAGGCACCAGACAATATAGTACCCAATCGCTGCGAAATATCATGAGATGAGGTGGTCCTCGAATGATATCTTTCGACGAGATGCTTACCTCCATTGGCCAACAGCACAATACAACCAGGAATACCGACCAAGAGGCTTCTATTGTTGAGAACATAGCATCGCCAAACCTACTGTCCATTCAGAGAGAACGATATGGCAAGTGGAGGAACTCACAAGGACACTATCAGCGACAGTTGGTTGTGTGACGTAAAGAGCGGTTTTTGCGAGTTCCAATGGCGAAGCGAGGTTGGAGTAGTAGGCATCCGCACCGATTGTATCCGCGTTGAGAACGAACGCCTCTAGCGCTCGAACGAAATCGATAATTAGATGCTAACGACAATGTCAAACTATTTTCACAAAGGGTGTAATTACACTTACAGCCGTTGCAATGCAAAGCAGCAAGGTTGCTACCGGGAGAAGGAGGCCCCGTTGAACACCATACTTCTTGAGCAGTATGCCCAGGGTCAACCAGTAAAAAGTGAAGAAAACGCCTACATAAGGAAAGAAATTAGATATTATAACTTCTTTTAGAGGTTGGTGACGCACCGTAAAACAAAGTCTCTAGGAACAACGCTAAAAGCGAAGCTTCGGGCAAAGATATCATGATTATAGTCGAAAGTGTCCCTCAAGGACAAGTTGAAGTTGCTGAACTAAGTTTCGACTGTCAAATTGGCAACAACCAAGATCATAGTAAGTGACACGGAACACTCACTGCCCCCGAGATCAGTCTACATAGAGACACTAGTCTGTGTTCGCTGTGCAAGGCTGACAAAAACCTGTGAGATTAGTTTTGATTGGAACTAAAATAGAAATGTGATCGAATGAGCTGCAAAACATGAGTGCACTCAGGCTGTAACCTTGTGCTGTTTCATCACGACTCACCAGCAAGCTTGGCTCTTGAGCTAGCTTGATGCATGAGGAGGCCCGAGGAATTGCGAAGGGTGTGTGTGGTCCGACTCCAGGTTGGATTAAAAAATGACAATTATATTCGTATTCACCATAATGGCACGAATCCTCCTGAGACTGAAGGCCTAAGGTGCTGGGCGAAACTTTCCAAGGCTCGTTCTCGGCAAAACAAGTCGCCAAAGGTTCTTATTCGGGAGTCACGACGTCACGTGTATGGCTGAAAAGCGGTCAACATGAACCGCAACTCAGAAGGGGTTAGGCACAGAACAGTACCCACGTACATACAGCGCATGACCGTAAAAGTTTCTACAAGTAAACAGTTTTCATGTACAGGTGCAATTAACATCCACAAAGAAACAAAATCTGGTACACCGGGAAGTTCCACATAGATTAATCCGGTGGGTACCGGTACCCAACCATCCACCAAATCGCGCCTCTCTATCTTTGCAATGTCTCGCAGATGATCCTGTCCTCGCGTATCATTTTCGATCTGTGCGATGCAGATCAGACTAAAGGAGATAGCTTTTACCTTTCTGATTTACAATCTGGCAGCACCGCACTCAATATGATATGATTACATATCCACGTAGATTTGGGCAGACTATGGAGTACAAGTGATTACCGCTGCGCGGCTCGTCTTTTCGAAGGGATTTCTGTGCAGGTCTGCTTATACGCTAATACAAGCACTCCGCTCACCTTCGGATGTTCCGAGTCTGCTCTTATCTTTTCCTCTTCTCTTGAAGATAGCGTTTGAATGTCTCAGCGACGCCACACTTCTAAAGTGCGGTGTATAGCTGTCCATATGGAAACCAATCTGTGCGCAGATCAAGCACGGCGTTCTCAAGTGTCAGCCCTTGATATCCATTGAATGTCCTATGAGCAGATCGCAGGGGAAACTGTTTCCGATTTACGGTCCAGGTCGAACGCGCTGTATTGAAAGAAAAGATGATGCAAGTCAGGCAATACTAAATTGCAAAATTAGAGACACGGAGATAAGCGAAGAACGCACACAAATAGGAGACCGCCGAGCGCACATGGATAGCGAGCGCTTGAGCGATTGGGAGTGCATGTGGAGCTCAGGTGGAGCATGCACATGGAGCCGATGCAAATTTCTTCCGCAGGATCAACCGCATCCTTACATATATTAGACATGTGATACGAAGCCTTGAGCCTCTGATTGGGTAGAACCGTTTGGATAGTTTCCGAATCATAGCGGTCATCCTGTTCTTGAGCGCCTGACTATTTGGTAATTGCAGATTGTTGTCGAATTTCGACCAGCGGTGGTCTGACATGGCAGCGTACGAAAGAACGACCTCATGGCTTTGAACACCGCCAGTCACAAAGTTAGCAACAATTGGATCGTGTCATCCGGACAAGATAACAACCGGTGGCGTCAATGGGTGCCTGTCATATGTCGGAGTGGCATAATGGCGATAGACTAGTTCAAACTTGGGGTTCAAACTTTCGCGGGTAGAATGTTCACGTACTAGTAGCATCAGTGGGGTTAATGTTGCGGCTGCAGGTTGTGTCCGTGTGTGATGTACAGCGAGGTGACAGATATGGACTGGTTCGCAGTAGAAGACAATACATGGATATTAGTAAACGCACAGAAAAGCAGAAATGGGTCCAACTTCGAAAACAATTAACAATCATCTCCTGAGAGTCGTCGGCTGCGCGTCACGTCAAACCGAATGATCTCCGTCTCCTCAATCATCGGTTCCATGCTATGGCTCACATTCTGCTCTCCTCGCTCTCCAAAGAGAATGGTAAAGGGCTTTGGTGGGCTGGTGGGTTGGGGGTTGTTACCTACATGAAAGTGTACTTGCAGGATGATGAGGCAGAATACGATCCCCTAAAGAAAAGTCTTATAAGCAGTTGCGTTTGAGCCAAGTAGAACTCACCACGACAGGAGGGCCAATATCCATCGCGGGGTATTCGCCGTTTGATCCTGTCAAGAATGCTAGAAGGAGTGCAAGGACACTGGTAGCATATATAGCACCGCCTTCGACGATGACGATCATCACGGGTAAAAGATCAGCGGAGCCGTCTGACATGGACTGGCGACTGCGCCAGATGCGCCAGGAGATTAAAGCTGTCACATCCTACTCGTCATGAGCCTGCAGATTAGCCATAGAATAGACGTACTGGTACAAATGATACTAATAAACATGGTCAATGTATAGAAAGTTACGATTAACCCAGGAATGGTGGTGAGAGCGGTCGACCCTGCGATGGCTTGAGAAAGGGACCAGACAATGTAGTACCCAACCGCTGCGAGGTGTCATGGGATGAGGCGGTCTCTAAATAATATCTTTCGACGAGATGCTTACCTCCATTGGCCAACAGCACGATACAACCAGGAATGCCGACCAAGAGGCTTCTATTGTTGAGCACATAGCATCGCCAAATCTACTGCCATATTCAAGGGGAGAACGATATGGCAAGTGAAGAAACTCACAAGGACACTATCAGCGACAGTGGGCTGCGTAATGTAAAGTGCGGTTTTTGCGAGTCCTAACGGTGAAGCGAGGTTGGAGTAGTAGGCATCCGCGCCGATTGTATCCACATTGAATACGAACGCCTCTAGTGCTCGAACGAAATTGATGATTAGATGCTACAACATTGTTGAACTGTTTTCCCAAAGGTTGTTATTACACTTACAGCCGTTGCAATGCAGAGCAGCAATGTTGCTACCGGGATGAGGAGGTCCCGTTGAATACCACGTTTCTTAAGCAGTATGACCAGGGCCAACCAGTAAAAAGTGAAGAATACGCCTACATAAGGAAGGAAATTGAATATTACAACTTCATCCAGAGGTCGGTGACGCACCGTAGAACAAAGTCTCTAGGAACAACGCTAAAAGTGAAGCCTCAGGCAAAGTTATCATGACTATAGTCGAGAATGACCCTCAAGGACAACTTGAAGTTGAACTAAGTTTGAACTGTCAAACTGCTAAGGACCAAGGTCATTGTAAGTGCCGCATGCCTGCCCACTGCCCTCGGGATCAACTTAAGACATGAAGGCACTAGTCTGTCTGCGTTCGCTGCGCAGTGCGCAAGGCTGTGAACTTAGTGTCATGAACTAAATTCATTAGACATGTGACTGAATGTAGTGTCTTTCTCGCAAAACAATGATTCATGGTGTACTCTGAGTCGTTTCATCGTGACTCACCAGCTGCCAGCAAGCTTATCAGCTCTTGATGCATGATGAGTTGCGAAGGATGCCATAGTCCCACTATGAGTTGCATGGACAAAAATGACAATCAAAATGGCAATTTTAATTGTGACCATGAATCTCCTTTGAACGCGGACGGATGACTCCGAGTCGGACTGGATCGAATCCGATGAGGGTGTTTGCCAAGTCGCATTGAATCGGCGAAACTTTCCAACGGATCAATTTCCCAAAAGAGGTTCCAGGTCACTTTCACTAAAAGTTCCTATTCGGGAGTAACAACGTCACGTGTATGGAGAAACGAGAGTTCGGTCGACCCTATGGCGTATCCCAACACTGCGGTCAGTGCAAGACAGCCTGCTAACACAGCATGAAATAGGTAGTAATTATGAAAATTCGATTTTGAAGGGGCTCAGGCACAGAACAGTACCCCGTACATACAGCTAAGCTCAAGCTAGATATAATAATGCTTTGCATGGTCGTAAAAGTTCCTACAAGTAAACAGTTTCCAGACAGGTGCGATCAACGTACCACAAAGAGGCAAAATCAGGTACACCGGGAAGTTCCACATAGATGAATCCGGTGGGTATCCTTCTCCACCCATCCTCGAAAGAGCGATACTGTCGTGACAGCCCAACCGGTGCACCTTCCTGTGCATCCACCTCACTTCTTTCCAGGAGATAAGCTGCCACTTGTTTAGGAAGACCTGGGTTTGCCGAATCTTCTGCAGGGATATAGTGGAATATGCCTAGTGCATACTGTCTGAATATTGGCTTGAACCCGTAACCTCTGGAGTCGATCTTGACCTCACCGATCCCATGGTGTGGACAGTAAAATTTGGGATTTATGATGGGCCGGCCATCAAATTCGGGTTTAGTCATTTCAAGCGGTACAACGACCAACGGAATACGCAATCCTCTGCTGGTCAACATCAGGTCAAGTCGACCTATCGTGACGATGTCGGGATGTCCCACAAAGCTCAATGGCGATGCGGGAAGCGCAAATGATGCATGATGTTTGGCCGGCTCTCCTGCCCAGTTGAGCACCGATGAATCCCCGCCAGCTTGCATGATGGCTTCAATAAGCCTCCCAAATGCACGCTCTCCACCTTCTCCGTATGCGATTTGTAGGCTGACGTCAAACATTCCCATGAGCGAATAAGCAACGTCTTCTGCCCGCGTAGTTCTTCGTTGCGCATTCCAGGTCATCCGCTTATCAATATAGCGAGGAGCGGGCTCGAAATCGATGAGTTCTGTTTCAGGAATTCCAGTAACTTCTTGCAGGACCGTCATGAGAGGAGTATCCTCTTCCTTGTCATCGTCTTGATCGGTCAGTCGCTGCCAATCCTTGTTGAAGAATTTTATCTTCCTGGGCGCCAGGAGTTCTTGTAAAGTCCATCCTCTCATGAACCACTCTTCCAATCTCAAGTCTTCAATGACAGTTGTCCCCCCGAGATACGCGATGCAGATGGACGAATTTCGGTACCACCGAAACATTGACCGGATCGACTCGTCAAGCTCCGCACTACTATTCTTGTCAATGCAGCATGTATCTGACCACAGAAAATGTAGGTCAAGACGTCTGGCCTCTTCGCAACACTTTTGCAATTTCTTGTAGCCAGGGCTCTGCACTTTGTTCTCACTGTGCGAGATGTGCAATGTATGACGACCGGCCTTCGGCCGAGACGTTATGTTGGACAACAAATATTCGACATTCGAAGAGCCCGAGCCGCCAGACAGCTTCCTCTCCATCATATCTTGGTATGAAGGTTCTCCTGAATCTAGCCACCGATGGGAGAGAATACCATATTCGACTTTGCGCCGGACAAGAGTCGGGACGACTTTTTCTCTCGTCAACGGCGGCACGAAGCGTGCTTGAGCTTCGACTACCAAATCTTCAGTAATCTCCTTGATGCGATCCTGGAAATGATTCTTCACGAAGTTCCGTCCGACGAGTTCCATCGTTGGAAGATAGATCAGATGAATTGGAATTTCGTTCATGACATAGCGATTGAACTCGTCCAGAATATCCTGAGCAGGACTTTGACCTTGGTTCGTACTTATATTTTTCATCTCGTCGGAGCACGGCTCGATTTCAGCAATTCTGTGCTAAATATACAATCTGTCAATATCGTGTTTGGTCTCAAAAAAGGTAAATATTCACTTGAGACGACAAATGCTTTCCAGCATTCCAGAAATTGAGGGCCTGTCTCCACCACTTTCGGAAATGGCTGTGTTCCGGGGGAGAAGCTACAGGATCTGTATCTTTCTTGGCTGTCGTAGGAGGCTGGAGAAGCTACTGTTAGCGAGCATGCAGAGGAAGAAGCCTGATTGAATCCTACCTCCAGAGGGAGTGGTTCGTGGGATGTGATTACAGCCTGCGACACAGTTTGTTCAGGGCTGGTCTGTACCTCTGGGTACATGAGGTTCATTGGAGACTGATCCGGTAGTGACGAGTCGGGTGCCGACTAGCTGGTGGTTTGTATTCAGCAAACAAATGAAGAGGTAGCCTGCTCACGTCTTGTTGGTTCTCCAGCCCAAGAGTCGACAACGGTCCTGAGTTATGTTGATGCTGCGTGATGCTTTCGATGTTCCATAGACACAATTTCTTGTCGCCACAGCCACCAACGATAAAACGGATATCAGCTGAAATAGCCATGCAGAGCACTGGTTCAACATGCTGGAGCACGAGTTGAATCTGATCAAGAGTAATAGCATTCCAGAGTCGTATAGAGTGATCTCCACAAAGAGCGGCAATGAGCTTCCCGTCAGAAGAGACAGCAACGTAGTCAGCCATCCAGGCCGCATCGCCACCAAGTGAATGTCCTTCTTGACAACCAGTCTCCGAGATCCAGACGCGGATCGTTCTATCGAGCGATGCAGTGACCAGACGCTGTCCATTGGGGAACCATGCCACAGACAACAGCCCACCCGTATGGCCAGCTATAGGGCTGACTGCTGCTGGTTTTCCCGTCTTCACATCCCAAATTCGCAACATTTGCTGATCTGGAGCTATGTGGGATACGGAAGCAATTCTGCTACCTTCAGGAGAGAACGCAACTTGGCGTTCAAAGGTCGTGGACTTGATATCCATGATCAGCTTCGCAGTGCCCACATCCCATATTTTGATTGTTGTGCCTGCTATGGAGGCGATGGTAGCACTGTCGGGAGAGAAGGAAATGGAGTTGATCGTGTTCGAGTGTGCTTGAATGGGCGCTGTTGCCAAAGTACGCGTCGTTGCGTTCCATATCAAAATCCTGCCGTCCCCGCCTCCGCTCACGAACATCGTCCCATTGGGCGAAACGGCAACCACATTGACCGAAACCTTGTGTCCTCGAAGGGGTTCCCCTGATGCTTGACCACTTCCTACATCCCAAAGGCGAACCCTGCGGTCATAGGACCCAGTAATAATCATTTTGCTATCTGGAAAAAGAGCTACACATGTTAATGGGTCGGTATGCCCCGAGAAGTATTTGGACGGAAGAAATTTGGGTTTATCTGGTAGACGTGACATTAATATTTCTGGCCCAAAATCTTGCTTGACGTCCGAGACAGACATGCTGGGAGTTTCGTTCCCGACGTCCTACGGTTCTAGGGTACGACGCCTGCGGCCTGGCACAAAGATGCATGGCATTGCATGCATATTTCGGAGTTCAAACAATTATGCTGTGCAAAGGTCTAGCTTCAGCGCAAGCCCTTGGCGCCTGGCGCCGACGGATAGGAAGTAGGCTCACACAACTGCAATCTCAAGCATCTGTTAAACGAAGGAAAATGCATGAGGGCCGTACTCAAGAATGAAGCGGTTGGAGAGCATTTTCAGAGACGTATCGCCCCCAGAGGAAGAGGAGTAGAAGGGAAGAGGCAACGACGGAAGGAAGCAATCACCCACCAATAACCCAACGCCTGAAAAGGCCAAACTGTTCTCGCTCGCGCCAGAACCATTGCAAAAGACTGACACATGGATTACATAGTGAACAACGAACAAAAGTACATAGGTGTAGGTAATGTCCATCATAGGGTCCGGCCCCAAAGGACAATAATCAAGGATTTAAAAAAAATCTATCGGATAGACAACGAAAAAACGCAAGAGGAGCTCCTTTGCACAAAAATTCAATAAACACCTTTTATTTGTCCGGTGCGCATAGTTCCCTGATCACGTTCTCATCGACCCTCTTCGCAAAGCATATCTCAAACGGAGCAGCTTGTATGTTCGAAGTGTCCGAGAATGCAAGCGTGTCAATCTTCGCTGCAGGATTCTCCGAAAGGCAGAAAGCCCACATAATGAGAGCCGTATTGATGAAGATCGACCGATTCGCGAGATGTTGACCGGGACACACTCTGATATTTTCAAGTAAGGCATAAGAAATGGTCGAGAGATGAACGATACTACTCACCGACGGCCAAAGCCAAAAGTGAAAAACCGGAGATCATCGCGCACACGACCTGCATCGTCAATCCAACGCTGAGGATTAAACCTGTGTGGATCGGGGAAGACTTCGGGATCGTTTGCGATAGCCCTGAAGCACGAGCGTCAGACCCAAAGGTGAGAGGACGAAAATGATTGCGTACTGACCAATGGTTGCCAATAACAGTCGCACCTGCAGGAATGAGGTAGTTCTTCCAAATGATGTCCTTACTCGCGCGATGCGCGAAGCCTGTAGTGCAAGTGGTCGTTCAACATCACGTCATCACAACTCAAATAAAACGTACCTCCAAAACTGACAGGTCTCCACCTGAGACTCTCGAGCATGAACGCGGTAACCTGCGGCAGCATTTCCTGATCGGAAAACGTAGGCACTAATCAGGAGCTATCTCAGTCAGTAGACGAATAAAGAAAAGGGATAACCTACGCCTCGTACGCCCCACGACGTCATCGAGTTCCTCTTGTACGCGAGCCTGCGCATCTGTATGAGTGGCAGCAGCCATCATCATAATTGTGATTGCGGACGTAGTCTACAACAGTTGTCGAGTGAAGACGCGATGCAATGTAAGAACTTACCGCATCAGTGCCGGCCCCAAACACCACTCCTCCGAGGAATGCCAATTCCTTATCTCCGATCTGGTACTGTTTCTGGTTCTCTAACATGAACCTCGCAAAGGATGGCCTTGCAATCCCCTCACGCTTCACAGCGGTGAGCGAGCATATCTATCATCACAAGAAAATTACGAACCATCTGTCTTCGCACTACGTCTAACTGCTCGTCATAGAAAACCATTTCTTCTCTGTTCCATGCCTTCAGCTGACTCAGGTAGCCTGGTACGAAACGCAGGATTGGATACGCATCCACAAGATACGCTCCCGGCTTCACAGCTTGACCAAGACGCGCAGAAAACCTATTCATGTCAACGACTGCAGGATCTGTATATGAAGTCGGGGTAATTTTTCCGTAGGTGATGGACATGGTCACGGAAGCCGAATAACTAAAATCCTCGGATTACCACCTGCACCGCGACTAAGAGCTGGTGTTCGTACCTCATGGCATGTCTCTGGTGGTTCTTTGGATCATTTAAGAGATCTAGAATCACATTCTTCGCATGCCTGGTCTGCATGGGCTCGTGGGTCTCCACAACCTTAGGCTGCAAGTTTGCATGCAAGATCCTGCTTTACATTTAGTCTCACCGATCGCACCTGGTAGAGACAGGATGCGTACCTGCGCATCCGGCGCCATCTCTCAGTATCGCCCTCAAGGATCACTCTGAATCCGTCAGACAACGTCTCGTGCACTGCAACAGAACGTGGGCGGTCGGCAACATTTATTCCCTCTTTTTCCATGATATCCACCGCAGCCTGTGACGCGATCTACTTCATGCCTGACTAGACAATGTATTGTTTTATGCTGACCTGATGACGTCCTATAATCACGAAAATCCTAGGGCCTTGTTTGAGCGAGAACACAGGTCCGTATTGTTCTGTCCATCTCGCAAATTGAAACGGCACACTGCGTGAGGGGTCAGATAGAGCTCATGCTGGTGTCCCTTGAAAACGACTTACGATGACTTTGGCATCGCATTTCCTAATGGCCAACGTCCAGGTGGTCCAGGCGGCAATGGCAACCGTCTTGCGACCTGGTATCGTTGCTTCACTATCCAGACGCTGGCTAAGATGATGATAAGGGTGCATGCGGCAATGATAATCGCCATTGAAATGGTCTGGCTTATTGCTAGTCACGATTCAGACAGTCCGCTATTTTGCAAAACGTCAAGTGCTTCAGAACAGAGAGGCGGTGACTTACTGTGATGAACGACGGGTAGGGTGAGATTAGAGTGCATGATTACACTGACTTGTACTTATACAGACACGAATCGGACACCTGCGCGGATTAATCGGGTCACTTGCGTGAGTTTACGTATCAGTACGGTCTTCGTATAGTATAGGAACCTGATGTGACCACCCTGGTGATAAGTTAGTAGTGGACGCGCATGTTCCAAGATATTTCGATACCACCTGAAGATTAAGGTAGATCTTCACGTTGTTCTCGATGACCCGTTGGATTGCCAGTTATAGAGGTTCGGCGGAAGTAAAGTGTGTCATCATTCTAAAAATAGAACTTTGTACTCGTCTGCCAAGGAATAACGAGACTCGGCGGATGGGACATTTTAGTGTATCACCTTTGGTCTCCAACCTCTCCTGGCAAGACGACGATCCTCTGAAAAAATTCCATGAGCCTCCTGTTTTTCTAGCACCGCATGTTACAGAAATGCTCGCGACTTCGACGCCTCGCTCTCATCAACCCGGAGCAGTGTTTCCTCGATGCACTCAATATCGATCCAAAAACCAGCAGCCCGGCCCCTGTGCTTACCCACCTGTGTCTTGCTTCGTCTGATTGTGAACGCCTGAAGCTCTTTTTGGAGCGAAGGGCGGGAAGCTTTGCGAAGGAAAAAGGTCCACGTATTTTGGACTATCTTGAACTGGCGACAGCGAAAAAAGATGTGCATGTGTTGGAGGATATCGTATCGCAGCATATTGATGAGCTGTATTGCAAAGAGTTCGCTGGCGGCTGAACGGCACGGAAGATGGGGTAAGAGGCCATCCAAATCGCGAAACCATCACCAATGACCATCGTACAGCCCCGAGGTTTCTCAGTTCCCTCTGAACGTCTTTAATATCAGATCGATTCCACTCGCCAACCCAATCGAGAAAGACGGATACAAAGAGAGTGAAAATGAGAGGTCAGTTGATATAAGCCGAAAGACAATATTAGCGATTTTGAAACGATGTTAACTTGGCTAACTACGCTACTGATTAGTAACTCACGCGCACGTTCTGTACTACATATAGAAGTGCCTCGTCATACATCATGATCATAGCCATTATGAATGTGATTGCAAATACCGCAAATGCCTAGGCAAATCAAACACACACTCAGCCTTTCTGACCATTGGATTCGTAATACGCTTGTACATCCCCCCGGACCAGATTTGCCCTGCCAAACGAATACTTGCAACGTGCGTGCGCTATTTTTGTCGCCAACACAGTGGTTACTTGATCTGGTGGCTGAATCGCAGGTACAGTTCCCAAGCGTGTGCACTGCGGAGTGTAGATGCATCAGCAAAAGGCCTTGAAATTTCGCTTGTCAAAAAGAAGTTTGATGCTTATGGTGAGCTTACGACCTGGTGATCGGAGCAACGTGATTGGTGGAACAGATTTTTCTGTAGTTACACTGTAAATATCTCGATGCTGAACTACTAGTCTAGGGTTTGTGCTATTCACAAACCCTAGACTTGGGCCACTCATAATTAGCTGCTAGTGACGCTCATAAAGCTTCGCAGAGATTAATGCACGAATTCAAAACTATATGTGCTGCTATTGTGAGCTACTGATACTATGCGAACTCCGTACTCAATGTGTGATAACTGTCCTTATCCGCAAAATTGTTCAGAAAAAAGCGGTCATAACTTTCCAAACAAATGGCTGAAGAAATCTTTTCGTCCACCTTTTGGCCATATTCTGGGATCAACTCGACAGTGTGTGTTACACTTGTCAATGGAACCACACCACCACATCTGTGTTTGCCGTGTTGGTCTTCCACATATGAGCGTTCTACTGTCCACATCGCGAGTTCAGGCCGGTCATTGGGACTGGCGACAAAGTCGTAGTACTGAATATAGAGCAGCGGATGGGATAGATATGATGGCAAAACTAGGTCAGAAGCACATGGAAGAGTCGGTTGAAAAATAAGTCGAACTTGTGCGATACGACTTACTGAACATAATCTCGTTAGTGCTGGAACATAAAAACAAAAATGACATACTGGTTTGGCCATCGTCGCCTGTGACGTCGACGAGGACATTATCACAGTTTCCGAGGGGAAATCCGCTATCTGGTGGATACGCCTGGATCACTCTGCTGGGCATGATCAGCTGTGGCCGGAAGGCCGAATGAAGCTGTAATCGAAATTTTTTCCATGCATGAAAGCGTCCATATTTGTGGTCCCAGCGGGTATGCTCGCCGGTGGAAAGAGA